TCTCTCAGTGTATATTATTTCCTCTCCCCCTCTTGAGCATTTCCCTTCCTCTCCTTTGACATTCACCACCCTGCTCTACCCTATTCAGATAGATCAAACAATCTTTCCAAAGAGCGGGTTGATGGCAAATGCTCCCTTTAAAATTGGAGGAGTCACTACGCAAATATCAAACACCCTTACAGTAGGCTACAGGTGACCTCAACACGTGTGAACTCTCATGTGAATCCCTAACTCCCCTCTCCATCCCTCTATCTCTCGCCTCTTCCACCTACAGAATTGTGTGTTTGCTAAATGACGCCACGGGCTACCGGGTGCAGGAGGCCAACGTGGAGGTGTGTGTGAGGGACTGCCTGACAGACTACAGGGCCCTCTCACCCCGGGCATTCACCTTTGTGGTAAGTAGTATCCAGATGACACACTAGATGGATCCTTACATTAGACTGAGTATTGATGATTTTGTTTTTGCTAATATAAATGTATAAACATATGTGTTATGGTTTACCTCCATCTCCAGACACCCTTCTTCACACGAGTGTTGCCTGCTCAGGGTCCTCTCTCTGGGGGCACCAGGATCACCATTGAGGGCAACCACCTCAACGCCGGCAGCTCTGTGTTTGTCAACATCGGACGCCACCCCTGCCACTTCAAAAAGTGAGTGTCTGTCACTGTCTGTCTCTTTGTCTGTACACCTGTCTCTACTTAGCTCTCAGAACCAAGTAATACCACAGTGGGTCCATCACGCACAGTGTTGTACATTTACTGTCTATCTAAGGAATAGTAAGGGAGTCAGACAGCAATCGGGGCTGCTCTGCATTGCAGCTGAGAGGTAGGTAGAGCCCAGCCAGGGAATGTGAGTGCCAGGTTTCTGACAGGAGGAGGGGAGATACAGGGGGGGTGAGGAGAGGGGATATACAGGGGGAGTGAGGGGTAGGGATATACAGGGGGCGTGAGGGACAGAGAGATACAGGGGGAGTGAGGGGAGATACAGGGGGGGTGAGGAGAGGGGATATACAGGGGGAGTGAGGGGTAGGGATATACAGGGGGCGTGAGGGACAGAGAGATACAGGGGGAGTGAGGGGAGGAGAGATACAGGGGGAGTGAGGGGAGATACAGGGGGAGTGAGGGGAGATACAGGGGGAGTGAGGGGAGGTACAGGGGGAGTGATGGGTGGGGGAGTGAGGGGAGTACAGGGGGAGTGAGGGGAGGAGATATACAAGGTGAGAGAGGGGAGGGGAGATACAGAGGGAGGGAAGGGAGGAGAGATGTGAGGGGCGGAGAGATACAGAGGGAGTGAGGGGAGATACAGGGGGAGTGAGGGGAGATGCAGGGGGAGTGAGGGTAGATAGATGGGGAGTAGGGGAGGAGAGATACAGGGGGAGTGAGGGGAGGGGAGATACAGGGGGTGTGAGGGGAGATAGCTCTGCCAGCCTCTGACTAACGCAGACACCTCTACCTGGACCAGAGCCAGGACTATCAATGAAATGCCCCCATCTCCCGCTGATTCACCCTCCCCTCCATTGACTGGAAGTGTTTAAGATGCAGTGTGTGTGTGTGTGTGTGTGTGTGTGTGTGTGTGTGTGTGTGTGTGTGTGTGTTGTTTTTCTATGTCATACTGTATATGTGCATGTAATCTTGCTGATGTTCATACATGTCACAGTGCTACAGTATGTCTCTGTCCTTATCCAAGCTTTGTTTGCACTGTTAGTCTGGATAGCAACATCTATTTCTATTTCCATTTCTTTCCTTTCAACGGTAATCCAGCAGATTAGCTTTTTTCTGCAGCGCTGTCTCCTCTCTCTTCCTCTTTGTGTCTGTCTCATTCTCGTTTTGTTGTTTGTCACAAACACCTTGTCAAAATATGTGCAATCTTGGGAGGGTTTGTGGAGCGTGCGTTGTGAAGGGGGTTCCCATGGAAACGGGGCGAGGGGAATCAGAGGAGACATTGCAGGCACGTCTCCAATCAGGTCCTGGGAATCACACCAGAATCACTCCTCTTTCTAGAAAGACTGCGGCAATTACCCAGAAATTCAAGCATCATTCAACAGCACTACAGATTAGATATTGTAGTTACTGTGTAATAATTGACTAGACACACCAAGCATTGGAAGACACAGTTTTTAACAATGAAGCGCTCATTCATGTTACATTTACATAAGGCATGACCATTTCTTTAGAGACAGGTGCTGAAACCTAGACCACTGGTTTCTGTCATACTAATGAAACTCATGAATGATATCTCTTTGTAACCTTTGTAATCCTTTAAACATGTTTCTCCCCTTCTCTCTGCAGGAGGAATGCCCGGGAGATAGTATGTGTGACCCCAGTGGGGCTGAACCCAGGCAGTACACCAGTCATGGTGGACATCGACTCTGCTGAGCTGAGGAACCCAGAGGTCAAATATAACTACACTGACGACCCCACCGTCCTGAGGATTGAACCAGACTGGAGCATCGCTAGGTAGGAAGGGGATCTGGGGATTTACATTGATATCATCTGGTTCTCTGGTGCTGGTCTGGTGTGCAGTAGTGTAGCTAAAGTGGCACCTCTTTAAAATATACACTTTTACACTTTTAAGAGTTAGAGAGGAAAACACAGAACCTTGTGGAAAGTCCACTTTGACACAGATTGCCATGCTTCCTGGTAAACACTTTGAGCCACAGCACTGTTACAAGATGCTATAGCCCCCCCCCCCCCCCCCCCCCCCCCCTCTCTTGCTTTCTCTCTGTGTGTCTCTGTTGACATAACTTCCTGCTTCCAGTGATTTGCCACAGATCTGGGCTCCGTCTGCTACAGAGAAACAGACAAAATGACTGATATTCCTGGATCTCTCAAAGCCAAAATTCTCTCAGCTCTTTGATGTGATTGCTATAGGCCCAAATGCCTTATTCACACACTCCAGCATAGAGTACACCAGTGGCTTGGAGATGTGTGAACAACATACAGTGAGGGAAAAAAGTATTTGATCCCCTGCTGATTTTGTACGTTTGCCCACTGACAAAGAAATGATCTGTCTATAATTTTAATGGTAGGTTTATTTGAACAGTGAGAGACAGAATAACAACAACAAAATCCAGAAGAACGCATGTCAAAAATGTTATAAATTGATTTGCATTTTAATGAGGGAAATAAGTATTTGACCCCTCTGCAAAACATTACTTAGTACTTGGTGACAAAACCCTTGTTGGCAATCACAGAGGTCAGACGTTTCTTGTAGTTGGCCACCAGGTTTACACACATCTCAAACACACCAAGACAGTCGTGAAGAGGGCACGACAAAGCCTATTCCCCCTCAGGAGACTAAAAAGATTTGGCATGGGTCCTCAGATCCTCAAAAAATTCTACAGCTGCACCATCGAGAGCATCCTGACTGGTTGCATCACCGCCTGGTATGGCAACTGCTTGGCCTCTGACCGCAAGGCACTACAGAGGGTAGTGCGTACGGCCCAGTACATCACAGGGGCAAAGCTCCCTGCCATCCAGGACCTCTATACCAGGCGGTGTCAGAGGAAGGCCCTCAAAATTGTCAAAGACTCCAGTCACCCTAGTCATAGACTGTTCTCTCTGCTACCGCACGGCAAGCGGTACCGGAGTGCCAAGTCTAGGTCCAAAAGACTTCTCAACAGCTTCTACCCCCAAGCCATAAGACTCCTGAACAGCTAATCATGGCTACCCGGACTATTTGCACTGCCCCCCCCACCCCATACTTTTTACGCTGCTGCTACTCTGTTAAGTATTTATGCATAGTCACTTTAACTCTACCCACATGTACATATTACCTCAACTACCTCAACTAGCCGGTGCCCCCGCACATTGACTATGCAACGGTACCCCCCTGTATATATAGCCTCCCTACTGTCACTTTATTCTATTGTATATATAGCCTCCCTACTGTCACTTTATTTTTACTTCTGCTCTTTTTTTCTCAACACTTTTTTTGTTGTTGTTTTATTCTTACTTTTTTTGTTTAAAATAAATGCACTGTTGGTTAAGGGCTGTAAGTAAGCATTTCACTGTAATGTCTGCACCTGTTGTATTCGGCGCATGTGACCAATAAAATTTGATTTGATTTGATTTGATTTGATTTGATTTGATTTTGTCCCACTCCTCTTTGCAGATCTTCTCCAAGTCATTAAGGTTATCGAGGCTGACGTTTGGCAACTCGAACCTTCAGCTCCCTCCACAGATTTTCTATGGGATTAAGGTCTGGAGACTGGCTAGGCCACTCCAGGACCTTAATGTGCTTCTTCTTGAGCCACTCCTTTGTTGCCTTGGCCGTGTGTTTTGGGTCATTGTCATGTTGGAATACCCATCCACAACCCATTTTCAATGCTATGGCTGAGGGAAGGAGGTTCTCACCCAAGATTTGACAGTACATGGCCCCGTCCATCGTCCCTTTGATGCGGTGAAGTTGTCCTGTCCCCTTAGCAGAAAAACACCCCCAAAGCATAATGTTTCCACCTCCATGTTTGGAGATGGTGTTCTTGGGGTCATAGGCAGCATTCCTCCTCCTCCAAACACGGCGAGTTGAGTTGATGCCAAAGAGCTCGATTTTGGTCTCATCTGACCACAACACTTTCACCCAGTTCTCCTCTGAATCATTCAGATGTTCATTGGCAAACTTCAGACGGGCATGTAGATGTGCTTTCTTGAGCAGGGGGACCTTGCGGGCGCTGCAGGATTTCAGTCCTTCACGGCGTAGTGTTTTACCAATTGTTTTCTTGGTGACTATGGTCCCAGCTGCCTTGAGATCATTGACAAGATCCTCCCGTGTAGTTCTGGGCTGATTCCTCACCGTTCTCATGATCATTGCAACTCCACGAGGTGAGATCTTGCATGGAGCCCCAGGCCGAGGGAGATTGCCAGTTCTTTTGTGTTTCTTCCATTTGCGAATAATCACACCAACTGTTGTCACCTTCTCACCAAGCTGCTTGGCGATGGTTTTGTAGCCCATTCCAGCCTTGTTTAGGTCTACAATCTTGTCCCTGACATCCTTGGAGAGCTCTTTGGTCTTGGCCATGGTGGAGAGTTTGGAATCTGATTGATTGATTGCTTCTGTGGACAGGTGTCTTTTATACAGGTAACAAGCTGAGATTAGGAGCACTCCCTTTAAGAGTGTGCTCCTAATCTCAGCTCGTTACCTGTATAAAAGACACCTGGGAGCCAGAAATCTTTCTGATTGAGAGGGGGGTCAAATACTTATTTCCCTCATTAAAATGCAAATCAATTTATAACATTTTTGACATGCGTTTTTCTGGATTTCTTGTTGTTGTTATTCTGTCTCTCACTGTTCAAATAAACCTACCATTAAAATTATAGACAGATAATTTCTTTGTCCGTGCACAAACGTACAAAATCAGCAGGGGATCAAATACTTTTTTCCCTCACTGTTCATCTGTGCATTAACTTCTACTTTCATGTCTATGTTAAAGGCAGTGCATATTCCCTGCATTACAATGTTTTGAATAGGGAGTTGTATATTGAGATTGGTAAATTAGATTAGTTTATTGTCGTATTTGCAACTTTCTGAAAAAAGAGATTAAAACACTTCTTGGTTTTCTGCAGTGGAAAAAATTATTTTAAATAGCTTATTGATTGAATAAGTGGCTGCTAAATTGCTTCATCATATACAGAAAGGGGAGAGAATACGAGGAACAA